ACCAGCCAAAAGCAAGCCATCGTCAAGTCTATTCAAAATGATTTCCAACAAGCCAAGGCTATTATTTTTTACAATTTAATTTCTTTTGGGTTTGACTAAGAAAGTCTTTTTCCAGTCCTTTTTTAATCAGTTCTCTCCTTTTTACTTCGGCTTCGGCAAATGAAACGTCATAAATGTAGGCAAAAATTTGACTTATTTGTTCTTCAAAAATAATGAATCCATAAGTTTCAATCAATATTTCCCTAATCACTGGGGAAATAAAGTTAATTTTAGTTTGAGAATCTTTTTTTTGAGTTATCTCCTCCACTTTTTTTTTAGTGCCAGGCCGATTGAGGGATAAGAAAAGCACTAATTCAGCAAAATTTTGGGGACGAAAACGATTAAAAAGAAGTCGGGCCGAAGGAGTATCTAGTTGAAAAATGCCAGTCAAAAGAAAATTTTTTAATAATTCCCAAGTTTTTTGGTCAGACAAGTTTATTTCTTGATAATCAGGTAAATTAACTTTTAGAATTTCTCTCGCTTCGCGAATAAAGCCAAGTGTTTCTCGCAAACTCAAAAAGTCATATTTTTTTAGTCCTAATCCTGCTAATTTGTCCTCTTCAAAAAGCATCAATAAATAATCTTTTTCTGATTTCAAGGGCACAGCACCAATTAACGAACTCTCACTAATGATAACTCCGGCCGGATGAATACCAGTGTCATAATATAAGTTCTGGATTTTACCGGTTAACTGGAACAAATTAGGATAACTAGCTTGTCAGCGTTGTAATTTTAGGTCATTAAAATTAGGATTTTCGCCAGTTAGAGAAGCAATTTCTTTTAACTTTATTTCTCCTACCTTGTATAATTTGGCAGTCTCACGGAGGGCGACTTTCCAACCAATTTTTTTTTTGGTGATGATGCGAGCCACTTGCCTTTTTGGATATTTCTTTTGCAAGTAATTAAAGACTTCTTCTTGATTTTCTACATCCAAATCGATATCTGGCAAATTTTTTCTTTTTTCATTGAGAAATCTTTCAAAAAATAATTTATGTTCTAATGGATCAACACTGGTTATTCCCAATAAATATGTTACCAAAGAAGAAACGGCACTTCCTCGTCCTGGTCCCACCATAATGTTTTCTTTTTTTAAATGGTTATTCACCTCACTAAACACTAAAAAATAATCCGCATAGTTAAGTTTCTCAATAATCGCCAATTCTCTTTCCAGAGTGTTTTGATAATTCTCTGATGGTTCTTTTTTTAAGGAAATTAGTTTTTGAAGGCACTTGCTTTTTAGGAGCAGGAGAGGATTTTCTTTCTTAGTTCTACTCTTTTTTTCACTGTGGAAGGAAGGACTAAGACTAATTTTGGTCAGAAAAGTTTGTCATTGAATAAGTAGTAATTGATAAAAAGTTTTGTCATCCGTACAGTGCGAAAAATAATCATCATTATTTAGATAGGAAAAGAATTCGCCTTGGGTGTCAGTTGGAACAAAATAACGGTTAAAACTAGTTTTTTTTCATAACCCTAACAATTTTGTTTCTTCGGAAGTTAAACATTTTACCGCAAAGAATGGGAGAAGCAGAGGAATGACATTCTGCGGAATATTTTGAGTAGGAGAAAGAAGAAAAAAATTAAATCCGATAAAGAGATTTCCATAATTGACTTCCTTTTGAGGAGAACGAGTTAAAATTCATTGAGCCGCAAAGTATTTTATTTCTTCTAATTTTTGGGATTCAAAGATAATTAGGCAATTTTTACTCAAGTTAGAAAGAATATAATCAAAAGAAAAAATTCGATCGTTAGGAGAATCCGAAGAAAACAATTTTTGGAGAACTTCTTTGTATCCTTTGCTGTTTTGAGGATAAGCAGTTGCCAAATATTTTTTTCCTTGGGGATTTTCTTGTAGAAAAATCTTTACTCCCCAGACTGGCTTAATTTTTTTGGCCTTGCAGGAATTAAAAAATTCCATAATTTCATAAGGATAATAATCAGCAATCGCTAAGCAATTTAGTTTATTATTAACGGCTCAATCAATTAATTGGGGAATGGTCAAAAAAGAAAAAGAAAGGTTAGAATTAGTTTGTGTATTCAAATGGGGAAGAAAAAGACTTTCCATTAAATTATTTTTTGAAAATTAATCCTCTTGCAGAATGAAAATTTGGACACTTGACCTCCTTCCTCTTATCTTATTTATCTTTTTTAGTAAAGTAAATGAAAAATTTTTTAAGTTTTCACCTAAACAACAACATCCCCTTCCCGAATAGCAAAAAAACTAATCACTTTATTATTGCCTCTATCATTTACTTCAAACTCTATCTCTACTTCTTTTATTTGTTCTCAATTACACTTACTAAATCGCTCCATCTGTCCTTTACTGCTTTTTCAAAACAATTATCAACAATTAAATAATACTTATTGAAATTTTTGTCTTCTTTTTGCTTGATGGTAATATTCTTTAAATTAACTGAGGGCATACAGTTAATTTTATATGTCTAAAATAGAAAAATATTTACTAAACACCAAACAAGGCGGAGAAACCTTGGAATTTTAAATAAAAAATAAAATTATATAAATTGAATAAAGATAAAATTAAAAAGTTAGAAAGTGATTTGTCACTAGTTAAGACTTCCAATAAAGATTTAAAAAAAGAAGTGAGTGAGTTAAAAAAGAGAGTAAAGAAGTTGGAAAAACCAAAAAAAGGTATCTCGGAGGCAGCATTACGAAGAGCCTTTTTTTGAAGTTCTGTTATGGGAGTTGTTTCGGCAATTATTAGCATTATAAATATTTTGATGAATTGGATTAACAAGAAGTAATAAGATATCAAATTTTAAAGAAACCCGACAATTTTATAAGGAAAAACAAAGAAAAGTTTATGAGGTCTAATTTGTGGTTATCAATTCTCAAAGCCTTAAAATTTCCGGTAAAACTATTAGCAAGATTAGTAGGAAAAAAATCTAAAAAAGTAAGAAGCGAACGAGAACAAAAACAATTAACCCATATCAGAAATTTTGACCCTACTTGTATAAAAAATAGAACTTGACAAAAAAATTAAGTTAAGTGTTGCCGAAGTAGAAGACATTTTGTTCTGTGAAATTGAAAAGTTTACTTTGGATAGATTGATGGATTATGCCGAAAGGTTGAAATGTCATTATCTCTTTTTAATAATTGGGCTAATTCTTGAATATTATTTGGCTGTTTTTCCCTTATTGCTGAAAAAAGTTCTAACCTAACTAGTTTTGCTAATATCCTGCTGATAACTGCTAAATTATTAGTAATTGAAGCATTTTTTGGTTGAATATACCCTTACCTGTCTTAATGCTTTCTTCTATAATGATTAAATATTTCTTTTACCGATGCTCGTGGCTCGCATTTCTTTTTTGACACTCTGGGCAATATTTAGCAGTTATCTTAGCAATTAATAAACCAGTTCAGTAAACCAACAAAAAAGTTAGAGGAATAATAGAAACTAGCATCAAGAACTTTTAAGGCAAACATGGTTATTTCTTCCATAAAACTATTTTAACCTCTCTTGTCATTTTTCACAACTTCCGCAAAGAAGTTTCTTTTTGGACAGAGCCTTAAAAAGAGAATTAGTAAGAGAATGGACAACTAGAAATTCTTCTGATTCCTCCGTAAACAAAATTAATCCTTCCACTCCGAATTTTTTCTGATAATAGCACTCGAAAAGAGTTAATAATTCACAACAAGGGATTAATTGACTGCTATTCATTAAATTAAAAAGGGAATTTTTATTTTAGAGAGAATGGAGAGGAGGAAATTGGTTCTCTTCCCCTTTCCCTATTACTTTATATTTTAACTTATTTTTCATCTTGTTTGTCACACTTTTTCCAGTAAAACATCTTCCCTATTTTTAATATTTTCCCCCGTCTTCAATTAGTTTTCAAGAAAACTATATAAAATGAATTATACATTAATGACAAAGGTATTCACTGGAATTTATGAACTAAGAGAGTTAGAGGATCTAATAATAGTAAATAATAGTTATCTTGATATTTTAATATTTTATATCTATTACATCTAATGCCAAAGAAAATAGTAAAAACCGAAGTGAGTAAGAAAAAACTATCAAAAAACTCAAAAATTTCATAGATAAGGTTCGATTAATAAAATTAATGCGGCGGAAAGTTTATTGAGAAAGGAAGAGATAAATGCTTTTTGCATATTTTTTTCTTTTATATTCATTTGATAGGTCTTGCCATTAAAATAAACAATTATTCTGGAATAAAAAAAATTACGGAAATTGGTTGGGCAAACAGTAATGGGTGAGAAAAGTTTAATTGTATTTTTGACTGGACTTTGATGATTATAATGATAATTTATTTGTTTGTTGCTATCTACTACCTAATAAGAATTCAAACATGTTCTTCTAAATTAATAAACATTAATTAACATTTATTAGAGGAGTTAAATGACTTGTCGGATACAGATATAAAAGTAAAATAATATTAATATACAATGAAACATTCTCATCGTTATCAAGAAATTAAAGAAAAAATTCCTAATAATAAGTTTTATAATGTGCCTGAGGCCATAAATTTTTTGCAAAGTAATAATTTTGAAAAATTAAAAAATATCAAAGCTTGCTTTTCTTTAAACCGGTCCAAACGAAAAACCACTACTCCTTTAAAAAGTAAAGTAATTTTACCTCATCCTATTCCTCCAAAAGGAAAAATAGCGGTGGTTAAAGATGATTTGCCAGCGGGAATAACTAACGACTTGTCTAAAATTAAAGAAGTAGAATTATTGTCGATTGAAGAAGTTCACCAAAGAATAATAGCGGAAAAAAATAATAAAATCAAAAAAAAAACGCAATGAGGATTTAAAAAGTTGGTAGTTCATCCTCAAAATGAAAAGAAATTCAGAGCACCCGAAAAATTACCACCTAAACTATTTGGTTTAATCGCCAGAAAAGTTTTACTAACTGAAAATATACTAGAAACAATAGACAATTTCCAGCGAGGCGAACAAGAAATAAGAACCGACCGAGGTGGTAATATTCACGCCGTAATTGGCAGCAGCGATCTTAATCATCAACAATTGGAAGAAAATTACAAAGCATTGTATAAAAAAATAACAGAATTAAAACCAGTAGGTTGAAAAAGAGATTTTCTAAAAAACATAACCCTTTCAACTACCATGGGTCCGGGATTAAAAATAGTAAAATAAATATAAAGAGAAAAAAAATAAAATTACAATAACGCTGTTGGAATAGTATTAATTATTCGCTCCTGTAAAAGAAGTTAGCAGTTGAATAATCCAAAATTAGTTCACTAATCAGTCAATTTCTATAAAATAATAATATATATGCCTGTCACCAGCCAAAAGCAAGCCATCGTCAAGTCTATTCAAAATGATTTCCAACAAGCCAAGGCTATTATTTTTTACAATTTTCACCAGGCCGAAGATCAGGAGCTTTTTAAATTAAAAAAAGAATTAAAAAAAGTCGGTGGTCGGTGAAAAGTCTATAAAAATAAGTTAGTGGAAAAAGCACTTCCTAATTATTCTTTAAAATTAAGGCAAGCCAATGCTTTTATTTTTTGTCAGGAAGATGAATACAAACCACTAAGCATTCTTAATCAATTCAACCGGAAACATTCGAGTATTAAGCGATTTCATGGTGGTATCTACGAAAAAAGTTTAGTAAACGACACTTTATTAGAAAAATGAGCCAAATTGCCAAGTAAGGAAGTTTTAATAAGCACTTTATGTTATTATCTCAATTTTCATATTAGAAGACTAGTCAATATCTTAGAAAAAATTAAATTATCCAAAGAAGAAAATCAATAAATCAAATATGTCAACAGAACCAGAAAAAAATACACCAGAAACAGAAATAAAATTCAGTAAAGAAGTAAGTGAAGTTGGAGAAAAGATTGAAAAGTGAAATTTAGGAAAAATAAGTGAATTAATAGAGTGAATAAAGAAAAAATTTAATATCCAAGAGCAAGCAGTAGTTCAAACAACAGCATCAGCCCAAAGTGAAGAAAAAGTTGAAGCAAAAGATAGCAATGTTTCTTTGTATGTGTTAGAGATTGGTGCTCAAGCAATTAAAGTTTACGGAGAGGTAAAAGATATTGTTAATGAAACAGGAGGAAAAATAAATATTGTTAATGCTAAGCAAATGATTGACCAAAAAAAACCAATTTTGGAAAATATTCCTGGAACCGAGGTTGAAAAATATAAAAAACGATTAGAAGAAAAAGGAGCTAAAGTTGAAGTTAAATAATTTTAACTAATGTCATATTCAATAATTAAATCAGGAAATAATTCACGTCGTGAATATTTGGGTGCTAATCGCTCGCCCCTTTTTCAAGGTTTACCCGAACGAGATTACGCCCGAGAACAAAAATTATCTTACTTAAAATTCCTTTACGAAAGATTACCACAATTATTGTCTTTTTATTTTCCGGCTGAATTTAGCGACTATAATAATGATGTCAGAATAAATATTTATGATGTAGAGTGTCGGGAACCAGAAACTGTTGTTGAAGACTCAAAAGGAAAAAAAAAAGTTAGACCCCAAAGTGAAGAAGAAGCTCGGGTTAATTCCCTCACCTGAAGCCATACAATTTCTTTTAATTGAGAAGTTGCTTGGGACTTCCACTTTAAGAAAATTCAGGTAACCAGTAATGACTTAGAAAAAAATATTGACCAATGAGTGAAAGAAAGTTTTAAAATTGGTAAGTTTGCTTGTAAAAGAAAAAAAATATCTCCTTCGGAATTAAATTCCTTACTAACCCAAACTAAAAAACAATTACAACCATTAAAAAAATTATCAGAACAAGACCAACAAAAAAAAAAAGGTTTGATAGAAAAATTAGTCACTAAAATTGAATCCCTACAACAAGGTAACTATCAAGAATGATCAATAAAAGAAAACAAAGGGAAACTAAAAATAATATTAGAAATCTTAGCACAAGAAGAAGACAGTTTAGCAGTTAGTTTTCATTATGAACAAAACCAAAAAGCAGACTTCTGTCACTTACCAAAAATGACTTCACGAGGAGATTTCATTATTAATGGTCATCATAAAGTAGTAGTTTTTCAATCGGTGCGGGCTCCAGCAGTTTATTATTACTTTGGAGAAGAAGAAAACAAGTTTTTAGGGGAAATTATCCCTTTTAAAGGACCTTGAATTAGTGTTTCTTATAGTGCTAAAAAACCGCTGGCTATTGAACTAAAATTCCTTAATTCAGGACTAGTGTTCGATTTCCTAAATGTCTTAAAGACCTTTGCGATTTCCCCGGAACTTCTGAAAACTTTGTTTGACAAAGAGAGTTTAAATACCGACGATTATCAAGAGGCCGAAGAATTAGAAATCGGAACTGGCACAACCAGTTTGCCACGGTTTTTATTTACTACCAGCAAGGGCAATTCTTACTTTAAACTGGGAAAACTAGGACGAAGAAAATATAACCAAAAAATAGAACTCATTCAACAATTAAAGGGTCAAACCTTAGCTGAAGACTTGTATGATAACCAAGATAA